GGGTTGCGATCCGTTGCCGGACACGAAAAAAGACAAAAAGGGGGAAAAAAAAAAAAAAAGAGAGACGAGGCTCTCTAGGAAGGCTCGGTGTGGAGAAATCCCTCCAGATCTAGCAGACTCCTGATGCCAACTCAGAGGAAAATGTGGGAGAGAAATCAGAGAAGATTTGGATCTCTGTGTCCTTCGTGCGAGGCTTCAGTCATTGCCATTGCGTGCAGAACTTTTGAAGGAGACATTTGACCCCCTCAGGTGCAAAGACAAACCTGAGCAAACCCAGGCAGACTTCTAGGTCTGGGTTTATGGGACAGTGTGCCCTGGGCTGATGGTGTTCGCCATCGCCAGCCCTTCTGCCAACTCTCTTCTTGCCTCCTCACACCCCTTGTACCCAGTTCTGTTTTCTGGTGGCCTCACAACCTACTGGTAAGATTGCCTCTCCTCTTCCAGAAGCTTCCTTTGGTGATCACTTAGCATCTCCTGTTCTTGGTACCAAAGATAAGCAAGCATGGACCTTGATAGCTGCCATATGAAAGATATTCTGGGAGCAGCATTGGAAAGTCTGTCATAAGGCTTGGGGTTAAATTGTGGGCTCACCCCACACTTCCTGTTTGATTCTAGAAAAGTCACTGAGTCTCTTATGCAGTTCTGATTATCCACCAAGGAGCGTATGTGCAGCACTAGCAGTGTGATGGGATAGTGCTTGTAGTTTGGGATTATATGGTAGCTCCCCTGTTGAACAGTTATTATATATAACTGCTCCCTAGCAGTTCACATGGGGGTGTTTTTTTTTTTTTTTCCTTTTTGTCTTTTTTCGTGTCCGGCAACGGATTGCAACCCTCAGTGTCGCGCCCGGACCGGACCGGGACCGGCAACGGGATCGCAACCCTCGGTGTTGCCCCCACACCTCGCTCAGCCAGTGAGCAGGAACCGGTCTGTATGTGGGATCCGAACCCTCGGCGGGAGCGCCACCACGCTCCCAAGCGGCACACTGTAGCAGTGCGCCACTGGGCCGGCCCCACATGGGTGTGTTTTATTACTCCAAGGTAAATAGGAATTCCTTAAGGGATGTTGACTGGTGTTTCTTTTGGGTCTCCTGGTGCCACCTAACACACACATACACCTCTTAAACACATCAAGTTCTATTAAATACCTGCTTGAATGAATGAATTTTTCAATGAATAGGGGACTTTAAAAGCCCCACCCTGGCCCTGTTTTCTTAGCTGTATATGGCTGACAGACCAGGTCTTCTCACAACCTTTGCTAAGCACTTGCTAGTGGAGAGATGCCTAGACATGTTCATTCTACAGGAACTCATGTGACCTGTGAGTCTAGAAGCAGGTCTGTTTCTTTCTGCAAAAAACCTTTCTCGATCTTTCTCAGGACTAAGGTAACCTGGAGAGGAGAAAGGGATGCTACATTCTTCACCTTTTGAAACTGACGTTCTCTTTCTACAGGCATCCCGGGATATTCTTTCTTATTTTAGAAACCCTGGAAATAAGAGTGAAACAGTTTGAATAAGATTTTCAGAGAATGAGTTTGGAACTGAAATCAGAGAAGCTTCAGAAACAGAAATTTGTTATGGATTTGATTAGGCCCCAGCTTTCTTCAGGAAAGGAATCCACTTAGCACAGCCCTGATTTGGTTTAGGCTTCCATTTCCACTGGGCTCAGCTGAAATTCTTGGGATTGCTGCCACAGGACAGTCCTGGGGTGCCTGCACAGTGCTGCCCTCCTGCTCTCTCATCTATAATCTACTTTGTTTTTTTCCCATTTATTTCTTGGAAGGATTTTGTTTGCTACTAATTTAACTTCTTAGACTTCAAGGACAACCGTCCCCGTGTGGGCTGTCATGCGGATGAGGCTGTTTCTTTACTGTGAGCTCTGCAGCTGCTAGCCCCCACCCTGGCCCAGCATAGCTGCTTTGTTAGTGAAAGTCAGGTTGTAAAAGTGAGGCTCTTTTCCCCTTAATATCCAGCTTTTCCAAGTTTTAGATTTAAACTTCTTGCTCTACACTTTGCTTTTCCTTTTCTCATTGTATTTCGGTCAAGCATTTTATATCTTGATGATTTTTAGCTTTTCTTGGGCCTGGGACTGCAGGCCATAAGTCCAGA